GGCTTGGGGCACAGATGGCTCCTCTGTGCCTGGACCTCCCCTGCCTGCAGATTCCACGTGCGTCCTGGTACCTGAGAGTCCCCGTCCTGCATGGATGGCCTCGAACCTGCTCTGGGCTAGAAATGTCGGGCGGGGCATCTGAGCTTCAGCCTCTCCATGCATAAAACAGGGATGACATTGCTGCCTGTCAGGATTTCCTGAGGATTAATAAGGTTGAATGAGAAAGAGGCATAGAAACTTGATTTTCACATTCCTTGGGATATAAATGCTTCTTAAAAAATCTCAACGCCACCTTTTAAAATTCCAAAAAGTTAGAATAATTCTGCCTGCCCTGCCTTTCTCCTAAGATTACACGTGAAAACCAAATTCAACAATGAAAGAAAAAAATGAAGTGAACGTATCGTACCAGCTCAGCCAGCGTGTTTGGATGGCGTGAACTGAAGACATACTGAGGTGCCGCAGCCGCTGAGTCTCCGGAGCCAAGCTGTTCTCTCCCCTGCGGCCAGAAACTTGTGAACACGAGTCTGACCGTCTCTCCTCTTTGTTGAACCCATGGTTGGTCCCGCCTGGCCGTGGTGCTCAACGCCATCATGGCTTTAGGGTGACGCATGCCACACTGCCTGAGATCTGCTCCCGGCCGCTGCTTCTCCCTTGGAATGTTTTCCCTTTCCTCAAAGAAACAAGAATACTAAAAGAAGCAAGTAAAAGCATTGCCCCCCGACGGGTGACAAGCATAAACAGAAAGACAGAAGGCGCATTTCATTCAATCATCCAGCGAAAACTGTGCTCCCGGAGACAGCGGTAACAGCCCCAGCTTAGCACAAGACAGGGCAGTCAGTGGCGAATCCTGCCCTGGTGGGGTCTCCAGGCGCCCGAGGCCTGGAGGTTTGTGTCTAGAAAAGCAGCCAAGTTCGCTGTCCCCAGGAAGGAGCTGGATTCAGATGAGTCGTGTGAGGGGGAAGAGAGAAAAAGTGTGCTGTTCTCCTGCAGAGAGGCTTCAAGAGCCCCTGCAGATTCGGGGTGATAAGGAGCTTAGACCAGCGACTACCATTTGATCAAGTTGCCATCTGTGGGATCTGCTGACTGAGCAGGACTCAGGGATATGTCTGTGTTACAGCCTGGTCAGGCCTGTGCAGATGCGCTTTATCTGATCCTTGGGGAAATTATTTTCCAAGTAAGCTAAGCTATGGGGGCTTCTAGAGACTCTGCCAGCTCCCCCAGTGGAAAGGTCAATGAATCTTCCACCAAGAAAAAATAATCGTGGGAGGGACTCTGCACAGTAAACCCCACTTCTGAGTTTCAAAGAATGTTCACAAAACAGCACGGCAAAATGGAAGGAGATGGTCGGTGAAGTTTGGGGTTCCTCTGGGGAGTGGTTTCTTGACTCCGTGAGCTTTTGAGGGTTGAGATGGGTCCTACTGGTGGCTTCATCCTGTGACTGTGTCCAGCACCTGGTGATGACTGTTTCATGGTGATGGTGGGTGCCCCAGCTGTGTCACAGGGCACCACTGTCTTGGTGAATTTACCATAATCTGAAGTATGGCGTGGCCACCTGGACGCAGATGCTGTCTTTTGTCTGGGGCTCAGACTTGACCAGACACAGGTGGGAAGCTCATGAGAGACAAGCACATCATGGAAATCCCAGTGTGCTGATTTTCAGCACCACAGAAGCGAAAGGAGGAGTCTTGTGGCTGTTTCCCGCAGAGATGGGTATTGTGTGGCAGCTGACATTTGATTCGCTGCTACCATCACGATGTTTAGAGCAGCCACTCTTTCTAAAGCCTTGGTGACAGCCTCCTAGTTCCCAGCCCTGCCTTGCCTGCCCCCTTCACACCATCCTCCAGGCTCTGTCGGGCCAGCCAGCCCATTCCGTTTGGGATGCAACCCCCTGCCCATGGCAATGTTTTACCCCTCACCATCTGCATGTTCTTCCAGCTCTGCAGTGCACCTGGAGCGATGGGGCCAAACATGAACGACTGGCAAGACTCCCCTTGCCCCACAGAAAGACGGAACCAACTTCCTTGTCATGAGGTTAGGGCCAGGCAACAGCGGGGACACCACACCCATGGGTTCGATTCCACAACATGGAGTCCAAAATGATAGAAAATTTCAGACGTTGCAAATGCCTTAGCATCCCGGCTATGCAGTGAGGGGGTGCCTGGAATTCCTGCCTCAAGCCCCAGCCCCTCAGTGGCTCTGCCCTATAGTGGCCTCAGTTTGCCATAAGAGGCCAGGGTCCTCTCTGTGGCAACAAGAACTGCTGGGCCACTGTGCACATGGTCAGAGTTCCACGTGGCTTGTGGCTGCAATTTAAATGATTACAAGTATTAATTCAATGAATGAATGCATGGACAGAGGATGGACAGCACTGCCCCATATGTACTAAGCCCCTGCTTTGTGCCAGGCACCCTGGAGCCCTTAGGGATGCTGCTGGGCACTGCACTTGCTCCTCCCAGCTCCTCTTTTCTATCTCAGTGGCTGTACAGCGGCCGCCATCACTGCCCCGTGCCGGATTCAGTCTGCAGAGGATCAATGGTCTAAGTGACGCGGGCTTTGGGTGATGGCATTTCCCCAGCTGCGTTCCCTGGCAGAGGCTGTGGTGATATTTCCAGCTTTGTTGCTATGTCAACCCCGGAGCTTGCCTCCTGCCTTGGTCAGGGTTTGAGGCAGCCCCTCCTGAGCTCTCCCCGTCCCTGACGTGCACCGGACGCTGCACACTGTGAGCCACCACGCCAATGAGCATCAGGTCACACAGCAACTTCCCCTTGCCTGGACGTCTGACCGCCACCATCAAGCGCCTGCTCTCAGGCTCCAGAGCAGGCTGGGCACCCCCACTGAGTTCTCACTCGAAGGGAGAGACCTGGACATTAGTAGGGTAAAGAGCAATGAGGGCCCCAAGACAGAGGCCTGCCTGAAGGGTGGGAACTGCCGCATCACAGGGACAGCAACTAGTTGAATAAGCAGTAGCTGAGCGAGTGCAGCGGGGCATGATGTCACGGAAAGATCTGGACTTGCTCAATGTCGGAGTCGGTCTGGGAACCAGGGAGCCTTCGGTTGCCATCATAACACAACAGCACAATTGCATAGCACACCAGTAGCATCTAACGTGAATTGGGTGCTTACTGTGTACCAGGCACCATTCCTAGCACGGCGTGCAGGAACTTGTCCAGTCCCACAGCAAATGTAACACAGGTGCAGCACTGCCGTGGGTCCAGCACACAGGGAAGCTGGGGTCACGCGGACTGCATTGAGATCTGCCCATCTCACAGTGGCCATCGGCTTCATAAATGGTTGCCTGCCACTGGAGCAACTGGGAGCTGGTCCATGGTACAGGCAGGAAACTACGGGTGTGAGGGGTCGGTGGCTACAGGAACGGAGGGCTGGGGTAGACAGGCTGAGTCATCAGGAGGTGAAGTGGCAGTGTGTGGCGACTGTATGGACAACACAGGGGAGGTGGTGGAGACCCTGATGCCTGGGGGAGAAGGACCGTGTGAGGAACTGCTGCAATCCTGGTCCCCGCAGGGAATGCCTGGAGCACAGGGGCTCGGTACTCTGGAACCACAAGTAAGGTGGTTCTGATTCTAACCTCCAGAGCGGCCGGGTGTGGTGGCTCGTGCCTGTAATCCCAGCATTTTGGGAAGCTGAGGCAGGCAGATCATAAGGTCCCGAGTTCAAGACCAGCCTGACCAACATGGTAAAAACTCCATCTTTATTAAAAATACAAAAATTAGCCGGGCATGGTGGCATGCGCCTGTAATCCCAGCTACTCAGGAGGCTGAGGCAGGACAATCACGTGAATCCAGGAGATGGAGGTTGTAGTGAGCCGAGATCGCGCCATTGCACTCCAGCCTGGGTGACAAGAGTGAAACTCTGTCAACAAAACAAAACAAAAAACAAATCCTCTGGAGCAGGAGCGGAGAAGCTCGACTGGGGCAGTTAGAGTGGGAAATGGGGAGGGCTAGGAAGAAGCCTGAAGAACATGCCCACGCAGAAGGAGGGCAATCACGGGGAGCAGAGGAAGAGGACGAGGCCGTGGCTGCAGAGGGTCTTCCGGGGCTGATTCAGGTGTGTGCTGGACTGGGCATCAGGGAGGTCCCTGTGGGCTTCAGTGACAGCTGTGCGTGATGATGGGGGAACTAGGCAGTGAACATGGGTAATTACTTCGGGAAGTTTAGTGTGAGGACCAGAATGGAAACTGTACTGGTGTGGGGACAGGTCACGGTTTGCAAGGTGTTCTTTTGCCTGCGTGTGGTGCCCCATGGTTGAGTGGAGCACCTTCTCTGCAGGGTGAGGGGGCTGGGAGGTGAGAGGGGAGAGCGTGTGGGGTGAGGCTGCTCCTGGGCTCCTGACCAGTCTCTGCGGTGCTGTCTTCGTGGACTTCCTTTGCGGTGTGGGGCCCAAGCTGACCCTGGCTTCTCTATTGGAAGGAGGGTCTCAGGTGGGCTTGGCATCATGTAAAGGTGCAGGAAGTCCTCACCTGCAGGGAGGGCCTGGCTCCAGACAGGTCAGCCCCTGAGCTGCAGGAAGCCTCTTCTTCGAGAACGGCAGGCAGGTCTCCCCAAGGAGGCCTGAGGAGCAGCCACATTAGACCTGGGTCTGCTCCAAGACTGCAGCCAGAGGGCAGGGCCGGTGTTCCAGGCTCTCCTCCCTCCTGGCCCCCGTTCTGGCTCAGCTGTGTTGCTCCCAGGGAATTCATGCGGCGGGGTGGGGTGGGGGGGGCGGCCTTGGAGCCCCAGGGGGCCTCCACAGGGAGGAGGAAATGGGCTTTTCTCCCAGGAAACATTTGTTAATATACGTTACTGATGTCACTAATGTCTGTTTCACTTTAAAATAGAGAAAAAAAGGAAGAAAACCCTCCCTTGAATAGTTTACACCTGCATGTCTGCCATCCGCTGTGAACCTCTGTGAGGTTTATTTTTGTGACATTTTATTATAGAGTAAGCGGAGAAGGAGGCGCTTCCTGAGTTGGTGGGCACCCGGCAGGTCAGTAGGGGGGTGCCCTGGTGCAAACACTGTTCAGGGTACACAGTTTCGCTCACAACTGGCTCCACCCTCCTACAGCGGCTGGTGGCTTGAGTACAGGTTACTGAGGCTCAGTTCCTAGGACACCCACACAGCCCGATTTGGGTCACTTGATTTGGTAAATCAGGTGAAGGTGACTTACCTGTGGGGCCTGCAGTATGCGGGTTCCGGCTCTGGCACTGGGAGTCATCCACCCTCCTCACACGCCCTCTGTCTTCGCTGGCCTTCCGTGTTCTTGGGGGCTCCTGTTTGCTCCTCGGGCCTTGACGTCCTCCAGTGGACTCCAGTGAAGTTAAATAAATGCCAGGAGGATGCACGTGGCTGCACCCTGGACGTGGAAAGGAAGGAGCCCAGGAAATGCCAGGTGCTCGCTGTCCAGCGGGGACACAGGCATGAATATGGCAGGGGCACGCAGCACCCCCGAGAGTGCTGAGCTGTCCGGGAAGCCCCCGGTCCTGGGCACTCCCCATGCCTCCCCAGGGAGGCCACGCCACATGCATTAAAAGTGTTTCTGCAGCGTCAGGGGCCCCCACTTGCACCGTCCATTCTGAAGACAGCCCTCTGCAGAGCCCTCCTTCAGCCTTGGGGCAGGTGAAGGGCAGCAGGACCAGCTGATAGCTTGCAGGGCGGAGCAAACAGCCTCCCTGGGCCCGGGAAGAGGTGGAGCCCCAGGTGAGAGGATACAGGGAACTGCTGTGCGCTGCAGTTCCGGGGCAGGTGTAATGTTGACCTTGGGCTCGTAAAGGGAGGAGTCCAGGGCCAGTGACCTGACCCTGTGAAATGGGGCCATGTGACCCTCACAGAACCTCTGCCCTGTGTGCTCCAAACTGAAAGCTTTCTAAGCTGAGTTGAGAAGATATTTTCTGTGGTCCCCCGGGGCTGGGAGCTTGTTCCTCACCAGGACAGGGGCGCTGGGGCTGGGGCTGGGGCTGCCCTCCTGTGATAGCAGCAGGTTCACGTATTGCTCCAGATGCCAGACACTCACCTGCTCATCCTCCTCATGCCAGGAAGCCCACAGCCTGCAGATGAGAAAGCCAGGGCTGAGGCTGCCTCTGTATCGCATGCACATGGCGGAAGACAGATTTGAACACAAGTTCTCTATGATTCCCAAAGCAGGACAGACAGCCGCCCCCTGAATGGCGTCAATGCTGCTGGGGGACGGGAGTGACCCCTCAGCCACCATCCCTCAGCACTGAGGCTGAATGCGGGAAATGGGGGAGGGTGCCAGGCCCCAGGAGACCCTGAAAGCCGGCAGGAAAAGCAAAGTGGCAGCAGAGGGAAAGCCTCTTGGGACACTGTCCTGGGGGGAAAGAGCGCACAGAAGGTGGGTCCCGAGCTTCTAGCATCTCAGGGCTGCCCGAGGAGGCCCTGCTTCTTGTTCACGAATGCACATAGCTGGCTTTCCACTCTGCTGTCCTCACCACATCAGTTCCCTCTCTGGGCACTGCCTTCATAGCCTGGAGAGCCCTTCTTGCTAAGGGCAAGCCCACCACGCGGTAACAGGAAGAATGCGTAGACTTCCACCCAGGTCAGCTTGCCAAGTGCTGCTGCTGTGGCCTCAGGGTCCCTTGGCTCTGACACGGGACAGGATGACCACTGTGTAGCAATCTGACACTGGTGAGTCCTGTACCAGGGAGTGCCTGTTGCTGGCAGTGCCAGAAGCGTAGGATCTAACAGATCTGTTGTAACTGAGAGGCCATCGGGTCCTAGAGTATGAATGGGGGAGGTTCCCACCTGTACAGGTTGGAGGAATGCTGCGTCATGAATGCCGGAGTGGCTGATGCCAGGGGCAGGGCTATTGCTATTCTAGGACAGTTCAATCCCCAAACCTTATCCTACCACGTCTCCTCCTGAACATCACTTGGCCTTGGCTTTTGCTCCATGGAGAAGGAGCCAGTCATTATCTGTTGGACATCTGTGACACTTCCTAATTGAATGTCCTCGCCTGCTTTCTTACCCAGCTCTGTAGAGCCACAGAGCAGTTTTCCTGAGGGCAGTCCTTCCCATGTGAGAAGAGAGCAGATTGGTGCATCCAGCTCTGTTCCCCAGGGGTACCCTGTGACGCGTGTCTGGGTTACCGCTTGTATGAGCCAGCTTGGGAGGCCATAACGAAGCATCACAGACTGGGCTGGCTAAACAGCAGACATGCATTTTTCACTGTTTTGGAGGCTGGAAGTCCAAGACGAAGGTGCTGGCAGGGGTGGTTTGTCCTGGGACCTCGCTCTCTCTGGCTCCTAGGTGCCATCTTTTCCCTGTGTCCTCACATGGTCATTCCGTGTATGTCTCTGTCCTAATTTTGTTCTAGGGAACACCAGTCATGCTGGATTAGGGTCTGTCCGTATGACTTCATTTAACTCATCTCTTTAAAGACACTCTCTCTAAATGCAACCACACCCGGAGTCCCTGATACCCCTGCCTTGGCGTCCTGTGGTAATTCACCTCCTGAAGTTTTGCCTCTCCTTCCTCCTGACTGCCCCATGGCCACTGGGATCCATCCAAGGATGGGTTTGAGGGTGAACACATAGCCCTGGCACAGATCAAGGGGGCCAAATTGTATCTCCCTTCTTTTCCTGTCTTTTCACCCTGGAAAATCTACCTAAACGTAAGCATTTGTTTCCAGATCAAGATATCCTGTTGGAATACCTGTGGGAAGCCCTGCTCAGGGGCTGTTCTCCAACCTCATACCCTAAATCCCCCAAAAGGTTGCAAGAAGCAGGAAGTGGAGGCCTGGGAGCAGGGCAGAAGCTAGGAGGATGCAGACACATCCCTGCAGGAGGCGGCCCGCTGCGTTTTAATCTTTAATTGGCTTTATTGGTGGGCTTCGGGCATCTAATGAGATACATGAGTTTTCTCACACAAGGGGATAATTTTACTTTTGACCACAGGAGAGAGAACACATCCCTGGGTTCAGACAGACAGTATTTTTATGGCATCTTTTTAATGCTTTTGAGTATTAAACTTTTATAGTGTTTTTAAAAATTCAGGAAGGAACTTCCAAACGCCATGCATCCTGAGGGCTTCGGTTGCCAGAGGTGCAGCGTAACGGTGTGGTAGATGGGGTGGGCGTGGACGTTAGCAGCCCGGATTCAGATCCAGACAGACCCCTGGCTGTGACTCCAATTCCACATCAGTCAAATGGGGTGGTGGGGTTTCTGGGGCTCTCTGAGGACTGTGTGCCATGCCTGAAAGCGGCTGCTCAGCAAACACAGCTCGGCTTAGCCCTGCATTGAAAGGGCTCAGCAGACGTCTTTGTGGATTGATCACTGGGTCAATGGATGTAAAACATTTCTGCTCAAATCAGACCACTACAATGGCTTGTTTTTTTCACTCAACAAACACAAAGGCCTGCAAAGTGCCAGCCTGTACTGGTTTTCGGAGGTTAAAGATACATTTTGCACACACCGTGCCCTCTGGGAGTCTCAATGATAGGCATAAAATGTAATCAAACAGACACACAGGGACCATGGCACGTAGAGGGAACAACGAAGGGCTGAGGCTGTCCTGAGACCAGCGATGTGACCGTCAGCCGGAGAACCAGGCTCAGCTCTGTGCAACAGAGGGACTGGAACCCCACAGGTGGAAAGTCAGAATGGCGGGCGGTGGGCCTGGGGTGGTAGGACCCATGATGGTGGCATGGCTGGACCAGCATTGCAGAGGCACTGTGGCTCTCTGGACACAGCTGGGGCTGGGAGGTCTGAGCTAAGGCAGAGCTAAGCTTGGTCTTGGACTCTGCATTGCTGGTGGTGGGGATCCTCGCCTCACAACCCTCGGGATATAACCACGTTGGTGTGGTTGCTACAGCAACCATGCTGCTGCCGCCACCCTGAAAGTCTGAGGAGCTACTGCTCTTAGCATTTTTAGGGTCCAACACTGTTCATCATTCTGCTAAAAGGCTTCTCACCTGGCTGGCAAAAGCAGCAAAACAGCCATTATGGGGAGCATGTGGTCCTGGGGTGAGAAGTGAGAGCCCTTCAGGGAAGTCACACCTGCAGATGGGATAGACAGCAGCCTGCGGAGGAGGCACTGGATGCTGGGTCCTTGGGCTACCTGAGATTTGGAGAGGTACAGTTGAGGGTGGGTACCATGGAACTGGAGAGGCAAGAGGGAGCTGAGGATGTGTATTGGTCCATTCTCATGCTGCTATGAAGAAATACCTGAGACTGGGCAATCTGTAAAGAAAAGAGGTTTAACTGACTCGCAGTTTTGCATGTGCGTGGCTGGGGAGGCCGAGGAGACTTAAAATCGTGGCTGAAGGGGAAGAAAACACGTCCTTCTTCATATGGCGGCAGGAGAGAGATGTGCTGAGCGAAGTGGGAAAAATCCCTTATAAAATCGCCAGATCTTGTGAGACCTCTCTCTCATGAGAAGAGCGTGGAGGAACTGCCCCAAGATCTAATCACCCCCCATGAGGTCTCCCCGCAACGTGTGGGGATTATAATTCAGATTACAATTCAGGATGAGATTTGGATGGGAATACAGAGCCAAACCATATCATTCCACCCCTGGGCCTTCCCACACCTTATGTCCTCACATTTCAAAACACAGTCATGCCCTTCTAACAGTCCTCAAAAGTCTTAAGTCATTCCAGCATTCACCGCAAAATCGAAGTTCAAAGCCTCACCTGAGACAAGGCAAGTCCGTTACACCCACGAGCTCGCAAAATCAAAAGCAAGTTTGTTACTTCCTCGATGCAATGGGGCTACAAGCATTTGCTAAAAACACCTGTATGGTAGAAATTGGCCAAGGCAAAGGGGCTGTGTGCCTCATGCCAGTCCAAAATCCAACAGGGCATCATCAAACCTTAGATGATCTCCTCTGACTTCATGCCTCACATCCGGGTCGTGCCGATGCAAGAGGTGTGCTCCCACGGCCTTGGGCAGCTCTGCCCCTGTGGCTTTGCAGAGAACAGCCCCCCTCCTGGCTGCTTTCATGGCCGGTGTTGAGTGTCTGTGGCTTTTCTAGGTGCATGGTGCAAGCTGACAGTGGATCTACCATTCTTTGGTCTGGAGGACAGTGGCCCTCTTCTTACAGCTCCACTAAGCAGTGCCCCAGTGAAGACTCTATGGGGGATTCACTCGCGTTTCCCTTCTGCCCTAGCAGGGGTTCTCCACGAGGGCCCGTTCCTGCAGCACATTTCTGCCTGGACATCCAGGCATTTCTGTACATCCTCCAAAATCTAGGTGGAGGGTCTCCAACCTCCATTCTTGACTTCTGTGCACCCACAGGCTGAACACCACTTGTAAGCTGCCAAGGCCTGGGGCTTGCACCCTCTGAAGCAATGACCTGAGTTGTACCTTGGCCCCTTTTAGCCACAGCTAAAGCTGAAGCAATGGAGACAAAGGGCATCATGTCCCAAGGTTGCACGGAGCAGGAGGGACCTGGTCCCAGCCCATGAAACTGCTTTTCCCTCCTAGGCCTCCTGGCCCATGGTGGAAGGGGCTGCTGTGAAGGGAGCAGGCTCCATTTTCCCCGTTGCCTTGGTGGTTAACATTTGGCTACTTGTTACCCAAATTTCTGCAGCTGGCTTGAATTTCCCTCCAGAAATGGGCTTTTCTTTTCTACTGCAATGTCAGGCTGCAAATTTCCCATGCTTTTATGCTCTGTTTTCTCTTAAATGCTTTGCCACTTAGAAATTTCTCCCACCAGATACCCGAAATCATTCTCTTAAGTTTGAATTTCCATAAATCTCTAGGGCAAGGCCAAAATGCCCCCAGTCTCTTTGCCAAAGCATAGCAAGTGTCACCTTTACTCCAGTTCTCACCAAGTCCCTCGTCTCCATCTGAGACCACCTCAGCCTGTAGTTCATTGTCAATATCACTATCAGCATTTCAGCCGAAGTCATTCGACAAGTCTCTAGGAGGTTCCAAACTTTCCCTCATTTTCCTCTCTTCTTCTGAGCCCTCCAGACTGTTCCAAACTCTGCCTGTTACCCAGTTCCAAAGTCGCATTCACATTTTTGAGTATCTTCATAGCATGCCCTACTCTCTGCAGTAGCAATTTATGGGTTCTCACACTGCTA